AATGTTTCTAAAAGTTGAAAAAACTGTTTGCATAGTTTCTATGACAATTAGAGAGCGTGTTTACAAATAAAACTGCTCTGTACTGTTCCTTCTAAATCCTTTCGGGTTTTTCAAAATACGATTTCTTACGACATTAACTGAATACGATTTCAGACGACATATAACTGGCATTTGATCTCAAAATAAAAGTGAGAGCGGTTGATGTTTTATGGTTCGTTTGTGAATATTACCAATAAGATAACGCTTGCCGTATGTAAAGAAAACATTCACGCTTGGACTTTTAGAGAATGTATACCCGTAGATATTATCGCTAGGATCAGTTCGTTATTAGAGCCAATCTAATATTCTGTGAATGAGGCGGAATGCCTGAGCCTCAATCCTCTGTACGTCCAGCAGGACCGAACTGATCTTTGCTATCTGAGAGTTACTAACAGCAAAGCGATCTTACACCGAGGATACTGACAATTGTTGTAAAAAACATCAACCTTTGATGCATTTCTCATTTCTGTACTTATTTGTGTGTCTACGCTGTTTTTTTTCGGTGATTATTTTACGTTATGTGGTTTTGCTGTTGAAAAAAGACAGTATTCTATAGAACTAGATTAATTAATAGAACATACAAAAGCTTTTTTAGCTGGGTTCGATCAATCTATGGAGCTTGCCCAAATACCTCGAACTTTTTCAAAATCTTATAGGAGACTTTTAAGATTGAAGAAAAATAAAGACATCAGATGCGGAACATTTCAACATACATTTCCAATTGCAAGCATCATTACCTATTATAACTTTAGGTATAGGTTAGTAATCCTCTTGAACTGTTTCTTGTTCTGTTGTCCACAGGAGAATATTTAGTAGCTTTACTCGTTTCTACACCTCTCCTAAACGCTTTATAAGGGTTTAGAAAAATGAAACTATTCAGAACGAATAAGGGCTTTGGAGAGCTGCTAAACCCTCTCCTAAACGTTTATTCGTTCTGTATAGTTTCATTTTCCTAAGCCCTTTAAAGTTTTTTAAACTACGCTTTTTTTTAGAGTGCACTTGTTACTAAGGTTGAAATGATTTCACAAGTACACACGTTCTCTCAAAGGGTGTAATCTATCCGTTGAATAGAAATCAATAAATTTACCAAAATTTATTAGAGGAAAAATCATTTATCATACCGACGGTGAGTAGGCCATAAAATAATCTACACTACGGAGGTGCTTTTCTCTCTGAAAAACAAGTTGAGTTTTGTACTGTATATTTCTTCCACTACAAACAGTTTTCATCATCGTGTAAATTACAATAGAATTTATCAGCCCCTTCATAACATTATAATAATTTCGTTTTCAATTTTGTCACATAACGATTTAATTCTTGACTTAATGTCTATTTGTATAAAATAATATATATCGACCGAGAAGATGATGACCACCGCTACTGGGAATTTCAAAATAAACGGATTAGTTTTGATAGAGTTACATGAATTTTAGTGAAAGAGTAGTTTAAATGATAATATAAACTAAGAGAGATTTTAATCTGGACTTTCATAAACTACGAGAGTCCACGATCATATTTTCAGATGGATGTCACTCCCAAGTGATATCGATGTTAGAATGAAGACGAGGACTGTTGATTCTTTAAGCTTATCGTACTAGTGACATTAGCGTTTGTTTATTGATCTAAATCTTGAACCTGTACTTTTTGTGAAATGTTTCTACTGAATCAAATACATTATTGGAGTGGAGAAGTGTCTACTGTCGAAAGTTTGTCCAAATAAAGCTAACATACATAGATGTATGTGGCTAGAGGTTAACAGAACACAAATTTTTGTATCCGATCTAGTTTTGTTGTGAAATGTATTTTTCACATATGTCCACACCATTTTACGACTTTCGCTAGTGACCAGGTTCGAAAAATATGACGCGAAAAGTTTCCATGAACAGTTCACGCATTGTCACAAGTGGAATACAAAGGATGGGCCAGAATCACTGGAACGTTTCAGTGGTTTTTCTTTTTCGCGACAGTCGGGTTTTTTATGGCTGAGTGCCCGTTAGCCAGAGCGGATACAATACTCTCAGAAAATACGATAAATAGTAGTCGATTCGTTTCAGTAATTCGGGTCTACCCTTTATTTTTCATACGTGCCCACCCACCATTTTACGATGTTCACGTATGAGCACAGTTCATTTCATGATATACATGGGTGTACACGCCGTTTTATATACTAAAATTTCCCCATGGTTAGTGCCAACGTTTTGTGATTCAAGGTATCCTTGTTCAATTCTTGTTTTCTGACAATATATAGGAAAAAAAACGTGAAATTTAAGGAGAAGCTAGTGGCCAAATACGTATAAAAGGTACAGATAATCTTACATCGATGGGAATTGAACTGACTATAGATCGTCACCATGTCCGGGATATTTTCATGCGTGGACAGGTTCCAAAAAAAATGTCCATGTTCACATGTGCACACAAGTAAACAATCTTCACCCTTGACCACGCGTTTGATGTTGCAAGCGCATGACCCTACACCGTGGAATTTCATGTCTTTAGCTACACAATTTTGTAAAACTTCAAGCTGACATTTCATGGTTCCTCACGTGTGAGATATGGATAACATTTCCTCATGGGTGCTGCTAAATAGGATACAGCGTTTCCCAAAAATCTCAGTTCAAACTAATGTCTAGGGGTTGGTTTATGGATAAGTTCTAAATGTGTAACGCTTCTAATTTTTGAGTCAGCATATATAGGGTAAACAGTAAACACTAGTTTCAGTCATTTTACTTGACTTTGTTCAGTGTTACCCTAATAAAACAGTAAAATGAGATCTCTTAGAACTCATAAAGCTTGATGAGTCAGAAATTATAAAATTTATCTCAGCATAGGATGAGAACTATATCCACACGAAAGGATAACATGAGTAGATAAGCTAGAAATCCTTAACCCAAAAATTTCTATTTTTTTCTATCCAGATGGAATCGACTAGCATCCAGTAAAACTCGTTTACTTCATAAAGCCTTAACTTTTTCTTTCATTTTTGAGTTTAGTTTTAAGTTTAAGTTTTAAACGTGAACTGTGTAATCAACACGAAATCCTGCATCCAATGCATGTGTACTCGAAAAAATCTGAAATAACGTTTTCCAAATTTCCCTGATATGTACCATGGACATTGAAGACCTCATAATGAGAGCTTGTGAAACTAAGTGATAGGATATGTTTCTAGTAAACGCCTGATACGTTTCTGATAGAAAAAGTCGAAATTTTTGGGTCAAAGATCTCTGGCTTATCCGTCAATGTTCTTTCAAGTTATTGCTTTGTATAGCCGTATAGATACGGGAGTCTGTTCTATCTTATGAAAAGTTTACCTTGAAAGTTGACGTGACATGTTAATGATAATGAGGGTAATCATTATCACTGTTTGCGAAGGAGAAATCCTTTTTACTTTCGTATTATGAATGATGATTTATGTTGTATAATAATAATATAGGTGATGGAAAAGAAAAGAAAAGAGACTAATACAATCAAGGTGTACCTTATTCTTTTTTGTAGTCGAGTATATTCTACTTTCAGTATGTATAATAATAATAATAATATCTTTACGTTCGTCACAGTAGATAGGCGATTTAATTGACACCTATTCACAATATCGAAATATTTCAATGCTTGAATGATCGTATATGGTTTATTCAAAAATGAGATGCTATTGTGAAGTGAGAACCGTTATTTATTTTTTCAAAAAAATATTATATAATTTTCAAAATTTAAACTCTAAATATTTCATTATGAGATAGTTTAAAATTTGTACAAAAAAAAAGAGAACCCGTTAGCTCATCGTCATTTGTAAATGACAATTGACAAAAAAATGAGACGTTATTTTTTATTTTATATCAATACCGGTTTAATAGAGGACAAATAATCCTAGGAAAAAGAAAAACGTATTTATTTCATATATAATGTCCAGCAAAATAAAAAAATTATATTTGTGGTTTTCATTTAATTAATATATAAATGAATAATAGTTACTTAACGCTTTAAAAAGAAAAGAAAAATCTTGTCTTTTATCTATTGTATTGAGCAATTTTTAACCGTTCACGTTAGGAGTGGTAGACATTGTTGCACCACTACCACCACCAACAGAGGGTGTGGGTGTCACTGTTGGAGATGTAGCACTGCTTGCTCCTTCTCCTGCAACTGCAAAACCAGATGGAGCTAAAAAATAAAAAGGATTAAAGTTGATTATTCTAATTATTTTCATTTCTATATTTTTTTTAAACTTACCAGTTGTTGATCTTTGAGAGATCGTGAATAACAGGTAATATAGTAGTCCGTCACGGCCAATAATAGCGAGTGCAAAATCAAGATTAATTAATGAAGCAAGAAATCCACCACCACCACAGAATGGACATAATAAGAGATTGAAAACAACCTCTAGAATAATAGTAGTAGTACTCTGACGTTTGACTCTTGTTAATGCGCTAAAAGTTAGAATAAAATACATTTGTTCCATTATTTTGCTTTTAAAATGATTATGTAAAATACGTACAATTGATTTCGTTTTTTTCGACCATTACCATTGCTATTTACTACAGCTTGTTGAACAACTACTGAGCCTGCTGGTAAACCACGAGCACGTTCGATCTAAAACATGAAAAACTGATTATTTTTTTGTATATTTTAATTAGTAAATTTGTAGCATACCGCTCGTGCTATATTTGCAAAATTGCTACTTGGTAGAGCTCCGTTCGGTCCAGCAGTTTGATTCACAGTAGCTGTTAAAAATATGGGTGCTGTTGCTAATTTTTAAATAGAGAAACATAGTGAAATATCTTAAATATTATTATTCTCTCTTTTATCTTACTGGTACTCGATGCTCCATGACGTTTAGGCAAATAGACTGGTATAAGTGCCAATACTATTGTTGCTGCTATTAATAATCCGATTAAAGCAAGACAACATATGCCAAGAAGTGGTGCTATGCCCGCTACTCCACTCCTAAAACAGACAGATATACAATATTCTTCTTTCTATCTACTATGACAGATAATCACTGTGGTCTCGGTGGAGGAGTCTGGATTGGAACTGCGACTGGTGGTGGACCGTACATATTTACTAGAATAATAAATTAACTAATATCATGACGTTACGATTAACGTTATTTCTGTAAATGAGACGAATTGCTAAAAAAAATTTATCTATTCAAAAGATATTTTTCTGTAACTAATTTCTATTTTTAATAATGAGTAAGTACTTTACATTATAAAAAGATAAAATGGATGATATGTCTATCCATATGTAATCTTCTCTCCATGTTGGAATGAAAACTCCCCTCTTTACTGTATAGTTCATTGATACTAGACCAAAATAATATTTATTCTAACTAAACTTGTTATTAGATATGTTGATTAAGTCTTACTTAACTGATTTGTTTGATTGAAGTATAAAAAAGCTTCACCGCTATGCTTATTTTATAGATCAGTTATATTGCTCGAATTAATGGTGATAGCGATGTACACTGATTAAGAATTCGCTTCAGTAATCTGCCTTTTATATTAGACTAGCAAATTCTATGTAGGTTTTTGTGAGCAATCAGTCTCCAAAACTTTTTTTCTATTGTTTATTTTCTTTTTCTTTAATATTTTATCTGGTATTTTCGGTTAAAGAAAACTTACCTATACTATTCATTCGATCAGTCATTACACCATGTATTTTTAGTTGCTAGTACAACTTAAAGGAAAGAGGAAAATCGCTCGCTATTTCTATTATAAGTAGGTTGTTTATCATATTTTAACCTTCGATTTTTTTGCATTAATCCCATTGATTTGAATAGATTTTCTCGTATATTTTATACATGTATTCATTGATTGGGTGGATAAATCGATAGAATGTTGAGGTCTTTTCGTGCTTTTTTTTTCGTAGTTTATGAGCCTGACAATTAACTATACGTTAAATTATTATTTACTCTCCTCTAGAAACTTTATTCAGCATAGATTAAATCATAAGCTAGCGAAAACAAGACATTTCAATGTGAACCCAAAGTTTCACATGGATTGATGCTTTCTATTGACTAATATTCTTATAAAGAGTACAAACTATTTGTAAGCGTTTTGGAATGTTTTATATGATCAGGAAGAGGAGAAAATTCAATACTAAAATGCACGAGGATCTAAAATTGAGTCGTGTACTGATAGACCTTCATCGTTTAACTTAAAGTATAATTATTCTCTTTCGTTTTTGCCAAAAAATTTCTTTGTTCAAAGAAGTATTTAACAACAAGTCGTTCTTTCAGCGATCATTAATTTACTCTCATTGGCAGAAAATTTCAAAATGAAAACTATATGTTTCCAAAAAAAGAATTAAATTATGCTATGGGAGAGATAAAACAACATTATAAGTTTTTCTATTTAAAACATTTTGTTTTATGTATTATTTAATGCTGTCTGGCGAGCATTGATTGCCAGTCAACGGTCTCAGAAAAAAAAGTTGAATCTATGTGAAAATTCAGAGGTCTTTGGAAAATTTCATATTTCGGTTTAAAAAAGGAGATACATCTCGATGCTACATTTACAAATGTAATAGACATAGAAGAATATATGTGCAAAGTTTGAGCTCTTTAGAATATTGAGCAAAAATAAGAGACTAATTTCAAAGAGCCTCTTTATTTTAAAATAAATATTATTAAGAAAATTTTTCTCAAAGACTTTCAATTGTTCACCAATTATCCCCATCAATGTTCACTGTGTGTGATAAACTAATTTATTTTCGATAAGAAATCCAAACACACTAATGAATATTGGTATTTTTCTTATTTTAAAATATACTACAGTTTCATCATACCCATTTAAAACATAAATTTTTTTCAAAAAACCTTACTTTTAATTCACTTTTTTCTTTTACTATTATGCCAGTTAGATAAACATTGTTTTCTAACCTCAGCCAATAATATTGATGAGTAGAGCTTTCTTCAACTTCTTCTTCAACTAAATGTATTGACATGTGAAATTAGTAGAGCAGTATGAGAATCGTATACTACGAGTAATTAAGTATTAGTCATTATTATACATTAGATATATGTTTGATGTAAAAGAGATTAAACTACGTATAAGATTCTACTGATCTCGCTCTTGAATACGAGAGACTTAACTTGAACTTCAAATGGACTTTAAAAAGAAACCCTCAAGTTCAAGTTCTAAACTAAAATGTATTGACATGTGAAATTAGTAGACATGAAAAACGCGTAACTCTGCCACCGGAATCTCTGTGCGTNAAAAAATCACACATACATTTTGTTCTACTTTAGTGACAATACTTTTTCATATGACAAGAAAAAATGGTTCGATGATCTTGTTGTATCACCAATCGATGTTTTATATCTGAACTTTACTATGTCCATTACATTTCTATTTGAATGCGTATCTCATACTGCTCTACATGAAAAACGCGTAACTCTGCTACCGGAATCTCTGTGCGTTACCGTTTTTTCTCTTTTCGTCTATCCTATAATTTTCGGAAAGACAATCGTAGAATCCTGGAAAGCGTCTTGTTTTGTAGAATGAAGTCCGTTCTTCAAAATCCACCACTAGCTCAGTTCAAAATAATTGACGCTTTTTATGCTGTACTTAAAATACGAAGAGCCCCAAAA